ATAATGGTAGTCTCTTTGGAGCCTTTGGGACTGGGAGGACCGAAAGGCCGGGGTCACCATGGTTGAGTTTGGGGCTTCAGGTTTAGGGTTTAGGGTTTAGGGGCTTTGGGTCTAGGGTTGAGTTTGGGGCTTAGGGTTGTGGGTTTATGGGTTTCGGGCGGTTCAATATAGGGGCCTTACTGATTGGAATAGTGTTTTGGGGCTATAGTTATAATATGGAGCCCGCAACATAGTATTGGTAATTATTTAGGCCCCTACAATAAGCCTTAAGCCCTGGTTTGAATCGTTCGGTTGCGGGCGGCAAGTAAGCACGGACGCTAGGCTTTCGTAAGCACGGCTGCAGGTGGGCATATCACTATGGTCATCCCCTAAACCCTAAAACCCTAAACCCTAAATCCTAAAACCCGAAATCCGAAAGCCCTAAAACCCTAAAGCCCCAAACCTCCCTTGCACCAGCACACTTAAGCAACAAATTGACTACCCCCATAGACCCTAAACCTTTCGAAGCCCGAGGCCCGGAGGGTTGGGGGGTTTAAGATGTTGGGTTTACGGGTTTAGGATCTAGGGTTTCGTGATGTTTAGTGCGGAGGGTTTGGGATTGAATTAAACATTTAGGGTTCAGGGTTTCGGGTTTCCGTTGATGTTTGTCACCCTGTCTATGGTGCGGCTAGACCCCCAAACCCTGATAGAACCTTTCAGAACTACTATGCAGCCTTACGCTAGAGACTCTTGGTTTAATTATCAAGGCCCTTTGAATGGTAGACCCTTTTTCCAAGAATCCGTCGAATCAGCCCGAAGAGGAACCCCTGAACCCTAAACCCGTAAACCCTAAACCCTAAACCCTAAACCCCAAACCCGCTTAAAGTAACCCGGCCCCTAGAAATTTGGCTCCTAGAGCCTCCGAAGCCTTGAACCCGGGGTTGTCTTCGAACATGAGGGCTCCTTCAAGGTCTTTATAGCTGGAACAGGGTATTGAACTGTCAGAGGTTTATGGTTTAACAAGCCTCATCGCCCAGGGATGTGGCCACTGATGGAGTTGACTATGCAGGGCGGCCCTACTTCACCCGCGTCAGGCAGGGTCGCCGAACCCTCATACACCCCTAAACTGCTTACACCCTACATCCCACCATCGACACCCTAAAACCCCTGACCCCCAATCACATGTGCACTTGTGTGTGCCAAACCTTCACTACTCGATTACGGCATCAAATGCCTCGGGATTGATGGTTTCGACGATTTCAACGAACTTCATTCCAGCATCCTACATATTACAACCTTTCAACCCCCAGAGAATGATTAAATGATTGTGCCAGAAAATACCGTGAAATTCTATTTTAATGAGTGCGGCTCCTCCTTTAGACGGACCAGAACTCGACGAGAATCCTCCAGCCCTGTGAAACCATACTGTAGGGGCAAAAATAATTACCTATACTAGTCCTATAGGGTCATACCCTACCCCTTTTTTTGGGTACCTAATTTTTTATATAGCGGTCCTAACCATAAAACTAGGTACCTTAAAAAAGGGGTAGGGTATGACCCTATAGGTTTTGGGTGTTCCTTATTGTAATAATAGTCTAGTGGGCCCCAAAACCCTATTCTATTTATTAAGGCCCCTATATTACCCTTGTAGGTTTTCGGGGTGCCGGGAATGGTGTCACAAGGGAAAATCCCTCAGGTACAACTGTTGATGATCTAAATCCTGCA